CAACAATCCATAAAATGTGTAATTGTGTTTTTAGATTATAAACGAAGCGATGAATGTATTTGATACTACTATGATGTGATTTCTTTTTGTGTGAGTATACATGACAGGTAATTTAAAAATGATTTGATATCAAGTGCGAGTGATATCTGGTAGAGAATTGAATTGAATTAGCAATGCAACTGAAGAGCATACCAGTTTATGGATTATTTAAGAAAAAACATCTTGTTTTATTTCCGTTTAATACTGTAGTGATGCATATAGACAACATCACTAGATAAATAGAGAATTGAAAAATTTGAGAGTGAAATTCGACGAGCTGTTATCCGATCGATTAAACATAAATACTGCATAACATTGCCGAAAAAAAAATAACAATCGTAGGAATTATTTTTTGTACAGATTAGAATTTAACGGTTATCGATCTCAGTTGCAGTACTCGACGTTCCGGATAATAAAGCCCGGACTCTAGCTATGTAATATTTATCGGTTATCACAATGCGTAATGTGAAGTTTAATCATATACCATCAGTTTCGAGTGGCCTATGATAAACATAGATCATCATAAATACATTTCACACGATGTATTATGATAAGTTATATTCGTTTATATTTTAATCGATTGCGTAAAATTGTTAGTTATTAATCAATTGAACATAAGAATTGTATTATATTTTAGTCATATGTAATATGTATGCGTGGTTTCCGTCGAAATAATAACCTAACCTAACTTTTCACAAAACGTTTAAGCCCAAAAATTTGTCTACAACATCAATCATCATCAACCGAAACATATTATTATTCTTTATATTTTTATACTAATTGGTACTATATAATTAAAATACTATACAATCGTTAAATATTTCTTCGAATTAGAAAGAGGAAAGTATAATAATGAAAATAAATTGAGCAATAACGATTTAAAAAAAAAAAAAATGAGGTTTAACTTCAAAAGTAGAAGTTATGATAGAAATTATAGAAGATATAGAGGGTTAAACAATTTTATAGGTATAGAGAATGAATTGGAAGCTTGTAAACTAAAAAAATCTGTAAAATTCATTACATGCGTTGTAAGTAATACTTACGAAATGGACTCAATACAAAAAAAACATTGATGTGACAACAAATATTTTGTCGGATTTATAAAGAGTAGGTTAGGGTAGTTATTAGATACGCATATTTAACATTACAAATTAACATTTGCAGCATAAAAGTATAAAACCAGATCCCAAAAATTTAATTACTTAAAAGTTAGAACCACGTTGTCGATTAGCTATTTTAAAGTCGTGTGTAAATGTTAAATTGTAACACTGGCTGTAAACTTCGCAACGAAAAGTTCTAAGAGGCACAAATGTAAAACAATGAGCCAAGTGCCAATCGAGTCCAACAATTCAACAACCACATACTTAAAACGTTTTTGCACATGGATAGTTTCGTTAAACAATTATTGACAACTTCAAAAAGTTGCTTATGTAGTTACACACTGAATGTCATACTCAACATAGTATAATAGGCATGGATAGTCACAAATGTAACTGATGTAATATTCGTAATTAAAATAAACGACCCACTGAAACTATAGCTGCACATTTCTGTGGCATTTTAACACATCTTATGGTGTTTTGTATAAATACAAAACGTAAACGGTTGGGATACTGTAGACATGATACGTCGTCTCAATGAGATAGATCCTATTGAATTCTTACCGTTAACCAATAAAAAATATCATACATAAATACAAGAACTGTCCCATAAACTCGAATAGAAAATGTTTTTATAAGCACTACACATGACCTGCAGAAAGTGGGTTTATAAAATATAACGGTTGTACAGGTATAATAATATGATACAGACTGTATTGATTATTTCGTAAAACAATCGATTACGTCGTCAAACTTTATGATGAGTAATGACTAACAAAAAGGCGGAGGGTAGTTATAAAATTCAAAAAAAATATTATTATCTTTTGACGTCTCGATGAGAATAATACGGACGAAAACAAATATTCAAATGCATTTTATAGATTCTCATTTTAGTGAAAACTACACAAACACTATTTTCGACTACTCGCAGCAGTGCAAATTATTTTGTATTAAAATTTTTATTTTGATGCAAATCATCATAGACGTCTATAAAAAGTAATTGGTTTGGTTTGCACTCTCATTAGTGTCAGGGGCCGCCGAAAAGTAAAAATAAAATTCTTTGCTGTAGCAGCACAACTCAACGTTCGTCTTAGTTATTAAATCATTTTTTACCCTTTTTATTATTTTTACTTTTCGTCAATGTTTACCGTTTGGTTCGTCTGTTTGTTTTTCAGCTACAGAACCCGTCGTGGCGGCAGCGACCACGGTCAAAGCAGTCATGGCAGCCATAGACTTCCCCACGAACTCGACAAACCTCAATTCTGACGACATTTATGAATCTTACTCGAACCGGCCGGAGACGTACATCGTTCCCGTGGTGTTCGCCATGATATTCATCGTGGGCGTACTGGGCAACGGCACGCTCGTTTTGGTGTTCATCAGGCACAGGAGCATGCGAAACGTGCCCAACACGTACATACTGAGCCTGGCGCTAGGCGACCTGCTGGTCATCATCACGTGCGTCCCGTTCACGTCCACCGTGTACACGGTCGAGTCGTGGCCGTACGGCGAGCTCATATGCAAGCTCAGCGAGGCCACTAAGGACGTGTCCATCGGCGTGTCCGTGTTTACGCTGACCGCGCTCAGCGCCGAGAGGCGAGTATAGGACATTAAAATCAAAATTTTTAAGGGTTTTAAACGAAAAAAAGTGGTTATGTATTATATTACATATATATATATATATACATATTTATACGTACATGACATGTATTGCTGTTAAATAACAACACGATAAATAAACATTTTGGGGATATTTGGCTGCAAGAGACGTTTTAGATTTGTCAATACGATTAAAATGTTATTTGTAAATAGTCAAATTTTAGATTTTCAAATTAAGTAATTAATGAGGTAAATACTACTTTTTGCGACGACCTGAAACCGCTCTCAAATTTAGAATATTTAAACGCATGCTAACATTTATAGCAGTTATTTTTAACATTTCGAGTTCAAATCTCTTTTACAAAATTAAATATATACTATAATAGTACAATATAATAAAATCAATATAATTTATAAAAAAAAAAAAATTGTTAGCATTATAACTTATTATATTTAATATGTTAAACATTAAAAGTAAAAATTGATAAAATTAAATAAAAATGAATTTAAATTATCTACTGTAATGATTCGTTTAACATGAATCGAAAATAAAATAAAATATTATAAAATTTATCATTTAATATAATTTAAGTTCTTACAAGAACATGTGTATATTTTACAATTAAAAAATGTGATGTATACGATTTGTATCATATTATCCAATAAATTGTATTTATACTTCATTGTAATTTAAATCTATTTAAAATTTATTATGTTTCTGATAATATATTATAAATTTAAAATATAATTGTTTCTAACGATTACATAGGTATTGATAATATAAAAAAAACCTTAATTATATTTTTAACACATTTGGAATATATTGTTATAAAATATAGAATAGTTAAAAAGTAAAATATATATATTCCCCTCCAAATAAAAGTATATATTACATTAATTTTAAAATAATAATATCATCATTAAGTAAAGTTATTTTCAACGATATTTTTAAACGAACAAGTAGAATGTCTAATAACTAATGACAAATGCATGTGTATGAAATATAAATTATTTTTTTGATAAATCAAAATCACAAAATATTTACTCACAACAACTATGATTTGTGTTTGTACCGTACTAACTATGTTGTTTTCATTTTAGTTATTACTCAAACATGGGCATATAAAATAATTTTTTTGAAGTTTATGAAACTGTATTTATTGTATTTAATTTGTTCTAACTAAATTCTCTTTTCCTATGGATCACGGTATGAATGCAGAACGGCTTTAATTATCTTTCATGTACTAGAGACGTCCGAGATCTGGGAAATAAAGATATAAGCCTGTCCACAGCCGCAGGGGATTTTTTTTCGAACGTTTGCATTACTGAGAATTACGGTTGGATGTAATAAGTAAATAAAGACCAAAACTGTTTTAGTACAACAAAACCTCTGTTCGTGAAAGGATTTCACGATGAATAAGTCATCGTGCACTCCAACCACCTCTATCACTAAATATTTAAAGTGTGTAGTGAGAAGTATTATCTGTTTTCTCACCCAAGAGTCATTTTCACTGAAATTCATCGTCGACTTGTACAGGCATATAGATGTCATAAAATGGGTACGGGAATTTCGAGAAGAAAGGACGAGTGTGCACGATAAGAAGAAGAGTGGCTAGCCATCTGTAATGACTGACAATTTCCTCTGAAAAATCAAATAATTCAATGGTGAAAAAATTGTCGTTCAACTCTGAACGAACTTCTTGAGAAATATCCAGGTGTTTCACGACCTATTTTTGATTTATTCGTTAAACCTCACTGTAAGTCACAGACCACAGTGATGCGAACTTTTGAAAAAAAAAAATTTACGGCCGTTAGTGGGCTTGAATCTTTATTTTCTAAAAGTCCTTTGTAATCATGAATCGATTCAAGTTTAATATAATTAAATAAGATATTTATATTATAAATATAATAGGCTGTTAAATTATATTACGATGATCTAGTTATTGAAGCCTTTGATGTTAACAAAAAAAATAATAATTTGAAACGCGTATACTCTATAACCAACACCATTGATTTTTTTCATTTGACACAAAATTTGGGAAAACATTTCTCAGTATAATGTATTTTTGTTGGTTATCAAGTTTTACAATCCTACAATATTTTAATAAATTAACTTTATAATCAGTCTCTGAATTTATTATTTTTTCTTTTTTTATTTTATATTATTTTTTTGGTAGCAATCATAGTAAATACATTTGTTTTGATTTTATTAAATTTTTATATGTGTTAATTATATTGTAGTGAGTGATAGTGAATCAAACATATAAAATTTAAAAGATAAAACATGAAAGGTTAAAACGTTACTAAAAGAAAAAAGAAAATTTTAAAACAAATAAAACAATGTGTTTAGAAAAACTAGAAAACATAAGTGCAATTGTTCCAAATAATAATTTATTTTTATAGAAATACTTGATATTATAGTTATTATAATTCTAAATTTTGCTGTAATATTATTTTACAACCATTATGATTCAATTTTATATTGAAATTATTTATAATAACAGTCATAAACGCTTATAAACAACTAAAACTTACAATGATAACGTCTAAATAATATATTAGGTACATAGGTAATTAATATAAAATAATATGTAAGTATAGTGTATACACTATAGTTGTCCCTGTGTTTTTCATAGCCCGTAAAGAATACATCCGTATTAAATTTGGTTGCATAATGCTAACATGCTCGTAATGGGTGTGAAATGTGGATAAACAATATTTTTGGTCTTTTAATTTTGATGTATATAATATTATCTCATCCACATAGTGAAACCGTTCAATTCGTGAATTGGATATCCAGATTGTGAAATTTGACGAAAATCCATTTAATGAAATGGACAATATCTACATTGTGTACTTGTGTAATTATTATGAAACGATTATTTTTGTTATTTACCGATAAATTATATAATATTATATTTTTATTTATTTTTCATACACTATACATATATTATATTTATTATATGATATTTTAATTTATTTTTCATGAAAAAAAAAAAAATATATAATATTATTATGGTATACGAGTATAATAATTGTATATTATATTTTATAAATAGCAGTATTACCTATAAAATATAATTATTAGGAAATAATATCCTTATTATTTTTTTTCACGGCAATTGATAATGACATAGACTATTTAGTATTTACATAGTATATTATTTTTAAAACATGCACTCTGACTTAATTAGCAAGGAGTTTTGGCTAAACACGAACAAAACAAAAATAAAATCCTTGCCTTCTTGACATTTTTTTAATTATTTCTGGCACTGAAAATTCGACATTTTTATCAACTTGATCATTAGAGAGTAGAGACAAATTAAATTTTTGATTTTTTCAAACACTATTGAACTATCCTTTAAGTAAATCATATTTTGCTCTAAGCTTAAGCAATCTTTTTTGTTTTTGTTTCTTAATCACATAAATTATATTTGGCCGATTTGTAGGTCCCCCTATCAACTTTTTGTACTCCGAATACAACGCATTGATTAATTTCAAAATCGTCTGCTCTTTTTTTGTTTCCCAGTTAAAAATAATTTTAAATAAAGTTCTAAAAGAACATTTTTACTGTATTCAATTATCTACCTTGATCATTTTATCAGCAGCTTCTATTTGACTTTCATGTTCACGTTCACGTTGAATTTATATTAACTTACTTGAATCGCATAATTGGCAAATAATTTTATTATTTTCAGCAATCCCCGATAATAGTAATCTCACTTCAATTTTACAAATGCTGTAGACAATTGAGCGTTTTTAATTTCCTTTATCTGAGATGTATGTTCGAGATCTTCTTCTGTTGTTGGTCCAATTTTTGGATCATTTCTAAATAAAGCTTTATAAAGGTTACGTCCAATTGTTCAATAAAATTAACTATTTTTTTGGAATCAAACAATATTTAATCAGATACTTCAATTTTTAGAACTTCGTTTTCAGCCATCCATGCTTGCAAAATCCTGTCTGATTAGATCTCTCATTACTTCTCTGACTTTAAAAGTGTGTAGGAGAGGAATGGCGAACCTTTTGATAACTGCGTGTGAAATAAAAGATATTGGTTTGATTTTATTTGTCTCGTCTTTCAAAAACTTATCAAATCTTTTTTTCTGCTTAAATAGTAATTAATTTAACATGTAAAAAGGATTTTATTTTCTGTTATATTTAAACTTTACAGTACTTACTATTTACTATAACATATTAATATAAACACATAATTTTAAACACTAAAACAACAAATGTTTTAAGAAATATGATTTGATAATTACAAAAACTAGTTTTTAATAAGAAACCTGTTGCTTCATTTTCTAGCTAATGAATTAATTCTGGGATTATAATTTTTTTGAAAAGTGAAGCAAAAATTATGAATTATATTTGAATTGGCGTATCACTGAAATAATGGACGCGTGTTACAGAGTGACACCCGTGACATAGATTTTCTACACTGGTCTAGGGCGTATGTCATAAATCATAATAATTTGTCGTGCAAAAATAAATAACAAGGATAATATTTTATAATAACACTCCATAGGCAACATTGTCGTTAATAATAATAATCGTAATATACAATTATATAATATAATAATACTATATTATATTCCATATTTTTATTTTCTTATGAAAAATAAATTAAAATATGTATATAATTTATAAGTAATCCACAAAAATAATTGTTTTCTAATAATAAAAAAAGTACACATTATTGGTATTGTCTATTTCATGAAATTGATATCCATATAATGTATTTTCATCAAAATTCGCAGTCTGGACGAATTTCACTATCTGGATATCCAATTCATATAATGAGTGGTTTCACTATGTGAATGCGATAACTTTACATATTATATTCACTTAAATAATAATTTCTAATAAAAATTTCTAAATGTTTATTTTCATCTGCGTTACCAAAGGTAACAAGATCACACCATTAGTGGGGAGAGAGTTTAAGGGTTTAAACCAGCCACAACATTTTCTATAGTTATTTCACACGGTAAACAATTAACTTTATGCGTTAGGTACTCATATACAGAAGACAAAGTTAGTACAGATAATAATATTAATTATGTTTTGCGCGAGCAGTTGATACAGTTTGTTCTTGTTTTGAGTTTAATTAGTCAAAATGTAGCATAAGTAATACTACAAACAATGCAAACGCTTTGAATAGTGGTTTTAATTTGTTCTTAGATTTGTTAAATTTGGATTCATTAATAATTGAGTTAAATCTTTGAATAAGAAAGTAGTCAAATCATTGATTTTGGAATATACTAAAAGTATAGAACTTATATTAGAATATTCTTAAATAAATGAGTCTAATAAACACATACCAGAACAGCTTTCCAAAGTACTTCAAGTATATTCCAACTGTAGCCAAAACTTTTTGTCCAAACATATCATTTTTATAAAAAGTTTTGATGGCTTTACCGTTATTAACCGCAGCAAAGCCCAAAAAGACATTTTTTTCTTTAAAAAAAATTGAATACCATTTGCGAAATGTTACTTTTGAAGATAGACTAACTGATTTAGCATTAGGCTCATGTATATAACAATATGCGTGTCGGTTCTGAAAAAGTAATCAACCGTTTAAAAAAAAAAAAAATTTAAAAAAATAGAAATTTAGAATTTGTGCAGTAAAATTAAATTTTAATTTGTATTATAAACAAACCCTATTAATTTGTTCTAAATATGACTTTGAAAGTAACACACAACTTACAAGTCAATAAAAAAGAAATTACTTATTACAAGTCGAATTAACCGGCGTTGCCCGTGAAAAAATCTTGAGCATAATTTCTTTTGTATGTATAACTGAATATAAAAGCAAAGATTTTTTAAGTTTCAATTGTCCGCAAGAACAGTTAAAATATTTTAATTATTTGTTTTTCTATTAAACGTAACATTTCCAAAAATAAAATGCAGACAAAATTATATTTATCGAGTCTACGTGTTAAATGGATAGCTTAGACCGAATATAAATTACGAGTCTAAAATGTATCCAATTATGATAACCATTTTGGTTTCAATAATCGATGACTATCTTTTATAGACCAAATGATAATCGTTTTTCATGATCCGATAAATCCCTGAGTGAGCCACTCTTTAAAATGTGAATTTCGCAATATCCTTTCATAATCGACGTCTCCTACCTATACCTATATAAGCTACTTCCTGCCACATTTCATCTTCGTAAGTCAAGACATTTTCGAGTTTTCGTGTTGAGCGATCGAATGAATCGCCTATTGCTTTTATAAACGTAGGTATTTATATGATGTGTTTTTTACCATGACGATTAGGTCGACCAAGGACCACGTCAATAATAACGATTTATTTTCAATAATATGCGCTCAAGGAAGTAAAGTCTTAAAACAATAATAATGAATAAGTATATTTCTGTCGTTTAGATACTGCGCCATTGTGAACCCCATACGACGGCACGTGTCGTCGAAGCCGTTCACCTTGATGACGGCCGTAGCCATATGGATACTGGCCGTGGTTCTGGCCACGCCGTCGGCCACGTTCTCGCACCTGGCCACCGAACCAATACCCTTTACGAACATGACCATCGAGTTCTGTTACCCGTTTCCAATGGAGCTGGGCAGCGGTTACGCACGGGGCATGGTCATGTTCAAGCTGCTCGCGTACTACGTGGTTCCGCTGTTCGTGATCGGGTGCTTCTACCTGTTGATGGCCCACCACCTGATGGTGTCCACGCGCAACATGCCCGGCGAGCTGCAGTACGCCGGCCAGTCCGGCCAGATCCGGGCCCGGAAGAAGGTGGCCAAGATGGTGCTGTCGTTCGTCGTCATATTTATGATCAGCTTCCTTCCGTACCACGTGTTCATGGTGTGGTTCCACTTCAACCCGGACTCGCGCGATGAGTACGACGACTACTGGCACGCGTTCCGCATCGTCGGCTTCTGCCTGAGCTTCATCAACTCTTGCGTGAACCCCGTGGCGCTGTACTTCATCAGCGGCGTGTTTCGCAAACACTTCAACCGGTACCTGTTCTGCTGCTGCCCGTTCGCCCGGTCCGGCCCGGTCACCGTCGAGTCCACCATCCAGGACATCAACCTGACGCATGTCAACAGCACGTCTTGCAGGCGTCACAACTCGGTCGTCACCAGCCACGCGACCATGCTCAGCCACGCGACCTGACGGGCGGCCTGCGGTAGCAAGCCCGTCACCGATGGCAAACGCCCCGAAGACTGCAACGTCGTCTGATAACGATAACGCGCTGATAACGAGGGCGGCGGAGTCGTTCGCGCCAAATACGGGGAACACGGGTTTTTGTCTGCTGGTGACGTTCGCGATACTATCAAAAATCTTTATAGTAATATATTATATTTATATTATACAGGTTTAGATAATGATATATTACCGGGTGACGCAGTGACGTGCTCAGCGTTTTTGGTAGGTGTGAAAGATGCGTTATAACCATAGACGGTGATTAGGAGGTGCTTGAGGGGCTTAGCCCCCCAATAATTATTGAACATTTTTCAAAGTATTAAATCGGTACTTATTTTGCAACAATGCAAAGAAAGATTTAAGCCCGTCCCCCTAAAATTCAATCAAATATCCGCCTATGGTTACAACAACAACAAAAAAAACACCATATTCTTGCATTTGACAGTAGGTGCTATAATTAATAATTATTATAATAATAGTATACACCATTAATCGTGTATAAAAGGGTAATATCATAGGGTAAGTTATTTGTAAATAATCGTCTTGACAATATGGCGGCAAATATGCTTTCATCAGTTCATCATATAATTACAACCTATATTATTATAACACATTATCGTTATTAATTAACTCATTAACCTATATTAAATAAATATTTATAAATATATATATATTATATACATATATATATATTTATTTTTGCTCTGTCAATAGACAAAACAAATCAAAAGCGATACCCTCATTACCCTCCCCCGTGAGTTCGTCCCTGGGGTGACTATAATTTAAACATATTTCGTTTGCACGAATAGTATGTAAGTCATAATATTATTATAATGTGCGGTGTAGATGACTGCTGGCGATAGATTTCTACCCATTCGGAAGACGTGTCAGTTACCACGAGCACCCGGTACATGGTGTGTTGCGAACGATGATTACCGTTGGTTATTTTTGCATTTTTGATTGTAACTTGTCGTGAAACGTATGCATTTACTAAATATATAAAAATATGCATTTACGTCTACATAATGACGTGAAAAAACTGCACCGAGGTCAGTCAATCACGGCACGGTCTCATTAAATGCATATTTTAATTTCCCCCGGCTCAAAAATACACCGTCTGTTTCTATAGTATTATGGTCTGATACTATCTTTATTCGTTGGTATATGACGACAACGACACGCCCTCGTCATCATCGCTATATTACGAGTATTATACAAAAACGATTTATTCTTCAAAGTTAGTTTTTCCTTTCTTCTTCCACCACAACTTTATTCCCAAACTCGATGATACGAGTAATGTTTTCACATTACCACCACTGCCCACATCTACTTCCTCATAAATTGTTCTTCCGAATCCATTACTATAGATATAATACAGATAATATATAGATATATTCGCAGAAGGTGTACCGACGGCTTTAAGATAAATTATCTCATTCGACATATTTCCAACTAGTCCTACGACTGCGCGTCGTTACTCGAGCGTATAAAATACGATATAATATTATATCAGTGATATCACTTGGTTAGTATTTCGATTCGTGTTAAACGACAGATTTTATATATTATATTACATCGGTTTCTCTGTCCGGCTACATGGCTTCAACTTCTTTCTTTGCACATGTTTTACTTATAGCTTTGCTTCTACAAATTGTATTGTCTGATATATTACACACACTACACGTCCGATCAGGACCGATCGGATTTCTTTTAATGCTATCAATGTTATTTGAACTTTAAAACCATTTTCGAAAAAGATATCTAAGAATCGGTTACTAGATATCGAACTGATAACCAATTACTCGATTAATGATATTACATTAAAATAATTATCAAAAATGATTCAAACCACATAAATTAAAATATTATATTACTTAATAGAGAAAACTGAACAATCAACAATTATACCACAAAATAAAAGCGTAAGGAATAAAAACATAAAGAACATAAAAATATGTCTCGAAATACAATTAAGCTCTTGGTTGATTATTAGAAATACGTTTTGAATTATTATTATAATATTTATAATTTTATTAATCAACTTTGAAGATTCAAATTTTTAAAGTAACTAGTAAAGATCCACAGGTAACATTATTGCCTACCTAAAAATGTTTCTATAAAACAACTGTAATTGATGTTAGAACTTTCATATTGTTATATGTAATAGGTACTTTAAAAACAAATTTAAAACTTAATAATAATTGATAAAACGTTTAAGTACTTATCATTTTTTTTAAATAAAAGTTTTATAAATTAGTCAGATAATTTACTTCTTCAAAAACTTTTATTTAAGAACTAATTTTCACAATTTTTTAGACTTATATTTTTTACACACATTGTACATTATACATTTTATAAATCTTTGACTCGCTTCAAACAATTTTCAACAAATCTGTAATAAATACTATGCTGGTTGCACGGTTAGTAATAATATTTAGTAGTTATAAAAGTTATACGTCATATTATATATATTTATTTTTATTTTTAGCCTAAGCTATTTCATAATATGTATGATAATATTTTTTATGCTTTCCTAATTTTATTTTTATTTTTTTTTAACATAAATCTCTATTCAACAATCTGTTGCAAAAAAATGAACAATAAGCTTAATTGACAACATATATATATTAAAAAATCATTGGAATGACGGAGTGAAGAGATCTCCCTTTGGAGATACTTCGTCGGGGAGAAGCCTAACTAAATGCAATATTTATAGAAGTATAAAAAAACATTTAAATATATTCAAGTACCTACCTACGTAATACGCTTATGTATGTATATTTATATTATTACTAACTATTTTAAATAAATACATTTTGTTTTTATTTTTTAGTATACTCTAATTCCTAAGTAAAATATTTATTATAATTTATTGTTATAAGTTATTAAAAATTACTATGCAAATGTAAATATATATTCAAAATAAAATAAACATTATTATTTTTAATTGAATCTTAATTTTAAAAAAATATTCACTTCTAGATTATAATTGATATAAAACTGAAAGTGATTTTTTAAGGTTTTATTAATTATTTAAAATTAATTATCAAATAGACACTGCAAAATGGCTGCACTATTGTTTATATTTTATAATATATTAAAATAATTATATTATAAAATTTAATTTCTTAGAAATTAAAATTAGATATAGTATTATGTTAATAAATTTTAATTATCGATGTACTGTTTAGTTTATGTTATGATTAATAAATTTTGAATTATATAAAAATATAATGATAAATAAAAATAGTTGATCAATAATCAAAATAAAAAAAAAAAAAACAAAAATTAAATCAATTCAATACAAGCCTAATTAAATTTATTTTATATAATATATATCTACCTAAAAGATAAAATTTAAGTACCTAGGTATATGTTTTTCTTCGATAACCAAAAAATGGTCATTATTTTGTCATTTATATATTGTAATATATTAAGTTATAATTGTTTCATTTTTTTAGTTACTAAGTAATTAAAAATTAAGAAATATTATTATAAATTTATAAGTTATGTTTTTAATATATTATATTTAATTAGGTACTTTTTATTATACGAGTGTTAATTACAATTTAAAAATAATATTTCTTATTGAATGTTAAGCTCAACAAAAAAATATATATATATATATATATATATGCTTCTTATATATAAAACACCTATTATATTTCTTAAATTTCTTAAAAAAAAAATCCTTATTTTTTTATTGTTTTTTTCTATACATAAATCTTACCTTAATATCATAGGTATTATTTGCTACTTTGTTCTCCAACATAATTTTGATTATTCCATGTTGTATGTGTATGTTGCACGAAAATGATTGGTTATATGTCGAAAACTAATTACTACCTATATAATATTATGTCATTATGTTATTTCTAAAATATGCACACCCACTTAATTTGCATAATTATACATGTAAATTAATATCGCCATAAACAGATTTTTTATAACTTAAAATTGATTAAAAAAAAAAAAAATTATAAATTTTTATTTTTTTGTTTATAGTTTAGAAATGTGTAGTTCAAAATTATAATTTATAATAATTACATTAAATATACAATAAATTATTGCCTATTTCATAAAATGGATTTCCATAAATCGAATTATTGTTAAAAATTTCACATTGTGCATCTTAATAAATATTTTAGTGTATTTGGTTCATATTTAATTATTTTTACAAAGTTCTTATTTCAATTATTTCAAATATGTATAAAAAAAATTATGCCTATATATTTTTAATATTTTTATATACCTACATATATGAAAAACTTATAGAGAATTTTGTATTAAGTTTTCAAATATTTTGATTAAGTGAATAGAGACTTATAAAAAAAACCTACAAAAAAAAATAAGAAATTGTGGTATTATATTAGCTTAAAATAAACTTAAAAAAAATGCATTTAATGTAAATGGTATTATAAACATTTTATGAAAATTTAAATATCTATGGTTATTACTAGGGCTCAGAAATTGATGACCTTAAAAACATTAAAAATGACCTAAAAATTATGAATTTTTGTTTAAAACTAGTAAAAATACAATTAAAAAAAAAAATTAAAAAAAAAATAGTTATAATAATAAAAATTACTCAAATTTATTTCATTGTTAAAGCATAATATTTTATATTGTCAAAAGTAAAAATGACAGCTAGCAATTACTGTCTTATTCTATAAAATATTTACTTAATCCATAAATAACTAGTATAAAATATAAATTTGATGTAGGTACTTATACACATACAATAAGGTTGCAATAGGTTGCATAAGACGTGCAAGCAATTTACAATTTTAAAATACTCATAACTTGCTTTAAAATTAAAATATAATAAAAAGCCTATGAGATGCCCTAGATAATAATCTCACTTTTAAATTTCAAAAGAGGTCAATTCATTCTAATTTTCAAGCTGAAAGAGCTAAACGTGATCTTCTGAGAGTACTATTTGCCATGTTACGCATTTGTAAGACGGAGACAACATATGCGGGTACGACGTCCTCTTAAGAATCTTAATTATATTGATTATATTTATACTGATACACTGAATCACATTTATATTTGTTTGGTTTAAACAAACATATATTAGTGTTAACAGTTGACCTGAACTAACTAATTTTCCCACGTTTCTACTATTTCAGAAATACGTATGTCAGTAGACCAAAACGAGAGTGACTTATGACCAAGTTTAAGTTAATGCCAAGTCATTAATCATTTAAGTTGGTGGATTTTATTTTAAAATCATTTAATTTACTCTTGTGTCAACTATGTTTAAGCAGTAAACTAGAAGATAAAATTTAAAATTTATAATTATATGATAAATTCAGTTTATTTTTAGATACAGATATTATATTGATTGATATATATTTAACCTAATGAAACAGAAATGCATCGCAAGAAATCGTAAATCATTATAATACCATACACATTTAAAAATATATATTTTAGCTCATCATCCTAAAGTATTGTTTCATTTTAATACTTAAAAAAATATATTATTAAATGTATTTACGGGCTAACGGCAAAGTAGTACCCACTTGCACACTTTTTTTTTAATTATATTGCTATTCAAGTAATTTATTTTACTCTAAGTAAAATTATGTAGTAGGTAGATTGTATACTAGTATTCATCTA